CTGCTGGCCACACTCTTCTTGATGCACCCCAGGATCCCATTGGCTTTCTTGGCAGCCAGGGCACACTGCTGGCTCATGGTTAACCTGTCGTCCACCAGGACACCCAGGTCCCTCTCCGCAGGGCTGCTCTCCAGCAGGTCCACCCCAAGCCTGTACTGGTGCATGAGGTTGTTCCTCCCCAGGTGCAGGACCCTGCACTTGCCCTTGTTGAACCTCATCAGGTTCCTCTCTGCCCAGCTTTCCAGCCTATCCAGGTCACGCTGAATGGCAGCACAGCCTTCTGGTGTATCTACCACACCTCCCAGTTTGGTGTCGTCAGCAAACTTGCTGAGGGTACATTCTAACTCTTCATCCAGGTCGTTGATGAAGAAGTCACGCTGAGGCCGGCATCGCTTTCGGCTGCGGTCGGGTGAAATCGCGGCCAGAGCCCTGGAGCTGCTCCAGCCCGGGATAACAGGGACTGGGCTCCAGCCGTAGCTTCAGTCCGCTCTTACGTTTGCTGCCCGCATTTGTTGCTGGTGATGGGAGGGTGACGGACGCAACGGAGCAAGGGTGCTCTGGGTGTCCTGGTGTGGGTGGCCAGGCTGGGATGCGCTCGGGGCAGGGTGGTGCCAAGGACGCCCGTCCGTGCCGTGCCGCAGTGCTTTCTACCTCTGCCACCACCAACGGCCACCTCTGTCCGCTGTCCTCCCCGACCCCGTTGGCTCTCTCATCCAGCGCAGCCCACATTCCCCAAAATTGCAGGCTGCAGAGCTTTCCTTGCTGTGGGGTGGTGAAGCTGCTGTGGGAAGGGTTGAGCTGAGTTCCATCCAGTTCAGACTTTCTACTGGCTAAAAACTTTTTTAAAAGGTAAGAGCTGCCAGGGCTGGGGTGTAGGACTCCCTTGAGGGCTGCCCCGAAGGACTGCAGCTTCTCCCACTCGGCAGCGTTCGGCTGCCGGTGCCAAGGCCCATTTCTCCCACTGTGCCGGAGCGCGAGCATCCTGGTGATGATCCCATCTCCCTGGACGGGAGAGCGTTTCTGCGGGCAGAGCGGGTGTCTCGCAGCCCCCGCTCCCCGCCGTCCCCCCCAGCACGCTGCCTCGTGGCACCGGCTGGGTTTCCGCGTACCAGTAACCCAGAGGCAGCATCCAGGCGTCTGCGTGGCCGGGACAAGGCAGCATCCTTGCTGAAAGCGTGGGTTTTCACTTTGCTTTTACAGTTCCTCCGCAGAGGAGGAGGAGGAAGAGGAGGAGCAGGACATGATGGAGCAGAGCTGCTCTGAGCTGGCCCAGCTCGAAAGATGTGGGATGCAGGAGGGAGAGGCGCAGGGTGTGCAGGCAGCTCCTCTTTGGGGCAGGGAGGAGGATCTGCCGGTGTTTGCTGTGGTTGGGTTTCCATAGCCGACGAGCGGTTGGGAAGCTCTGCCGGTGGGGTTTCGAGTCCGTAGGTGGGGGCAAAAACCTGAAGAGCATCTCTGGAAGCAGTCACCCGTAGCTGTGCCGTGGCTGCAGAGGGCAGTGCAGGAGAGGGGGCCCTGGAAGAGATGGGGACATTCCTGGTCCCGCTCGATGCTCCTCTGGAGCTGCCTCCTGTGAGGCTTGGGTTCACAGAATCACAGAATGGTGGGGGTTGGAAGGGACCTCTGTGGGTCACTCAGCCCAACCCCCTGCCCAAGCAGGGTCACCCACAGCAGGCTGCACAGCACCGCGGCCAGGCGGGGCTGGAATATCTCCGGAGACTCCACAGCCGCCCTGGGCAGCCTGGGCCAGGGCTCCATCACCCTCAGAGGGAAGAAGTTCTTCCCCGTGTTCAGATGGAACATGAGGAATGGTTCAGACAGGTTTGCTCTGCAGGGGTGCCAGGCTGGGAGAAGGGACTCATCGACACAAACTGGCCCCATCCCGCTCAACTCCGCATCCATCCCGTTCATCGGCAGCCGGGTGGGAGCAGGGAGAGTTCACCTGGGCGCTTGATTTCGGCATCGTTGGTGAAGCTGGAGCCGGCCGCAGCCAGGCTGGTGCTCGGCAGCACCTGCAGCCACATTTCAGAGGTTTCTCCGCCAGCAGAAGCTGGGAGATGGTTGAGAAGAGCCCAAATTTGGCAGAAGCAAGTGGCACCACGCAAGAAAAGACTGCCAGTCCCCTGGGGAGCTGTTTCCTCCATAGAAGTCGAAGTCCATCGGGCTCGGCTGTGCGGGGGTCTGGGGTCAGGGAGGCTGGAAGCTCCTTTCGGTGCATCAGGGGCCGGACCAAGCACTGCTGCCAGTGCCGTGGACACCAGTGGGGGAGTCAAGTCAACCCTGAATTCCCTTTAAAGAAGTGAAAGCACAGCGTATTTTGGGTGAAGCACAGCATGTGCCTTTGCTGACGTGTGTGGAGCTGGTGTTGGTTGGTTCCCCCGGCTGCAGCTCGCTGGGAGCAGCTCCCTGGCAGCGGTGCACAGCGGTTCATGCAAGGGGAGAGGGTGGAAGCACAGAAAGGCGTGAGGGCTGAGCTGGTGCTGAGCTTTCCCATTCCTCCAGGACTCAGCAGGGACGTGATGGGGACAGGTTCCGTGCCCTCTTCTGCCTGCTTCCAGCAAAGGGGCCCTGGGCTGAGCTGCCCACGGGGTGCGGAGGCAGCCCCGAACCCTTAGCCTATAATTTCCTACTTCCAGCTCTTCTCTTTTTAGAGTGAAAGGATATTTTATGCTTTTCTGGCCCCAGGGCTGCCCCCTCCAGTCTGGACAGCTTCCTCCGAGCACCGTGCCGCTGCTGTGGAGCATTGCCCCTGCACAGGGCTGTATGGCCCCGACGCGGTGCTGAGCACCCTGACGCCGGCTCCTGGGGCTGGCTCCAGGGCTTTCCCAACATGCCATTAATTTTTTCTTGCAAAACTGGGGTAGCAGATAAGCAGAGAAGGGTGTCCCGTTGCTGACCCCTGCTGCTAACGGCTGTGGCGGTGCTCGTGATAGAGCAGCTTTTTCTACTCCTAGTACCAAAGGGCCAGCATTTGGCTCCTTACAAAGAGCTGTGGCATCAGCCTGTGACCCAGGGAGGCTCATCCTGCCCGAGGGCTGATACTGGGGTCCAGTGGGTCACAGAATCACAGGATGGCAGGGATTGGACGGGACCTCTGTGGGTCACCCAGAGCAGGCTGCGTAGGACCTCGTCTGGGTGGGTTTTGAATATCTCCAGAGA